AGAAGGAAACAAAGTTTTTACACAACTACCATTGCTTTTAATTCTTCTTCTTTTAGTTTATAGCACAGAGAAAATAATAGATGAGCTTTCTAAAATTTTCTCTCTTAGATCAGTTCTTACTTTGATAGACCCTGATTCCTTTGTAAAAAGCAGCGAAGGCTGTTCAAACTATGACCAAAAGTAAGTGTGCATTAGCAAATAGCTATTCATTGTATATACTCTTTGAAGAAGGCAAACTATGACTGTTGTTTGGATCAGAAGTGGAGTTAGTCTTTCCTGGATACAGGAACACCTGTGTTAACATCTTCCCATAAAATAGGAAGTTGTGTATTTGTGGGTTTTTAATGAAATAAATAGTTGTTTCTGGAACACAATACTCAAAGAACATTTTTTTTTTCCCCCGCTCATTGCACTGTCTTTATAAAATATAGTCTTGCCATTATTCTAATGACTGAACTTCAAGCATTGTTGAGTTGCAAGACAACTTTCCAAAAATAAGATTCATAGTTACAAACCTCATTGATTTTCAGCCTCACTTTTTCATGATGTATCTAACGCAGTCTGAGTGCATGAACACATCACTTTTTGTGTAAGGTGGCCACTTCTTTTTGAGGGGGTGGCAGAAAAAAAAATTATGTACTATTTTGAAGAAAAATGAAGGAAGAATCTAAAATGCTGCAAATTGAAAATGATACCTCAGAAGCTAAAAAATGGAATCTCAGATTTACTGTCACTTGTTTGAAGATTGTTCTGACGATTCTTTAAGCCATGTGAGTATCATCACAGATCTGCAAGACTGTGCTTTGGTGTATTTATACACTTAACAAATTAATATGCGTGATTTTTTTAAGCAACAAAGCCTCACAGTAAATCTGATGCTGTAAAGTTGTATCACTTTTTAAATCAATACCCATTTTCCTATATATACACTGTATGTTATAGAAGAACCAGTAAAAACTGGTTTCTGGAACTGCAGCATTTAATTTAGAAGGAAAGCATCAGATGGCCCTTACAAGTGTATTTTTAATAACATTAATGACAACAGCGTAGGGTTATTCTACCAGGGTGATAGCTGAGCTTGCAGGACTTGAGGAATCATTATTGGATTCAAAATATGAACAAGTAATTTATAATGATGACTTACTATGAGAAGTTGGGGAGAATTATGCACATACTGTTTATGTTGGAGGTTGCAGTTCATCAAAACATCCTAAAATATCTCTGTTTGTAACATCTTTAATACACTGGAATCACCTTATTAACATCTATGAGATAACACCTTTAAGCTACTAAGGATTTTTTTTTTTTTCCTTAGCAAGTCCAAATCTACTTTTTCCTCAATATTTTTACCTCCAGAATGATTTTAGCAAAAGAATTAGGGCAAAACCTACTTCCCACCCACATTAGGTGATCTAATTTATCAAGCATCTAATGATTTTTATAAAAGTTGCATCTCCCCTTTTTTAATATCCTGTAGGCTGATAGGTGAAGGGAAGATTTGATTAGTGTGGAAAGTTCTGCATGAGAAATAGTCTGTTCTTCTAGGCAAACCCATTTCCTAGTGTACTAGCAATTTTAAGATCGTAAGATGTGACCAGAAATTCTTACTCGTAATGCCCAGTGATTTAAGTAAACCCTTCATTAAAAATGCAAGAGTTGGGGCATTTGAAAAATATTTTCACTTAGTAATGTACATCCTGCCATTCCTCTGTCTGGATCTATTACTGAGTTCTATCAGGTAATTCTTTCATGCTAAACTTAACATGAAAATTAAGTGCCAGTTTGCTCTACATCTGTGGTAAGAACATAGTGGGGTTTTTTCCTCCAGATATTATAGGATGACTTTTTGTAACACAAGACATTTTATGTTGATTAGACAGCCTGAAATTTTCCTGCCTCAAAAAATCATCTCTGATTGTATAGGCATCCTCAGGTCTTCCGAGTCTAAACATTGCTGTAAACCACAATGGAAAAACAGCTTTGAAGTATTCCCAGTAGTAATCTTGGAATTCCTTCAAGTATATTGAGATTTTGTTAGAAATTGAATTGCCAGTGCAATCCATCTTCCTTGTGAGAAAAGATTCAGATAAAGAGCTGGAGCCTAGCAACATTAACTATTAGAACATCCCTTTAAATCAATAAGCTACAAATCTGGCATGCAATGCCCAGTGCTACACTAAAGTGGCTTTAGTGCTGAAACAGCATTACTAATCACACATCCCCAACACGGATAACAGTTGAGTGGTGCAGTAACCCAAATTATACAAGGCCTTACCTCGTTAAGTTTCACAAAAACATTTATATTGTACTGACATAGATAAGAAAGCAAAGGTTTTTTCTTTTTTTTTCCAGATGACTTTCCAAACGTAGTTATAGAAGGCATTCTACATGGAATATTTTATCCTCATTTACTGCCCAGGTAGAAGTGAAGTGATGTGTGGCTAGAAGATGCTGAAGCAAGTCTCCGAGTCACGTTTAATGGAATTAACAGGAATAAAAATTCTGTGATGTGAAAACTATGCTCAGAAGCAAGAGGCACAACCTCAGTTTAAGTTCAAGCATTATATCTTTTTAAATAAAATCAATGTCACTGCAATTGCTGCTTTTAAAAAAAGAAGATATGGAAACAACAGTATTGAAGTTATTTATACCTTCTATATATTGACATGCTTTAACTATTTAACACTAAAAGCTGAAAGTCATACACTGAATTACACTAACCTTTGAAAAGAATTGAAAGCTTTACTAATTATTTCTATCATAAATTACACTAAACCTTTTTGCACCAGGATTTTTCCCAGCACATTACCCATTGCTGGCAGTGGATGGATTAAAAGTGCTGGGACTGAAGAGAGTGTGTGAAAAATTGCCAAAAGAAAGAAAAATTTGAAGCAAGAAGAAATTGAAAGCAACTTAAAGTATTTTGTTCATTTTTCTTAAATTATTTTGAATCTGCTCCTTAATATCAGGTTGGAAAAGAGCCAGTGCAGGTGTGTGTAGAGTTTCTATTGGAAAACATGCTTCCACATTCTGAAATACATAGCAGTCTCTCAGGAAATTTTCTAGATTTCAGTTGAAACGATTTTATCTACCAGGAGATTTTACATGGCATTTATGCATCTCCATTCAGTTATGACCTCTAATCTGTGTGTATGTTTACTCTTCATGTCAACTTGCAGACTGTATTCCATATCTTAACATTTTATAAGTCACAGAGCATACAACTCTGTGGTAAGCTAAAGCAAGAATATGATTAAGTATAAAATGATAAAACTAAAACTGATACATATATATATATGCTTTTATATATATATATTTGTTCAGATTTAACTGGAAATTTGTATGTGTGCTACTGGACATTATAAAATAAATTACTAGAACATGAATGTACCGCTTCAGTGTATTTTTTGTGTGTTTTTAGTCAAACAAGACATTCCCCTGAACTTGTGTCATCAGAGATGGGTCTCACAGATATCTCCACATGAAGCATGAGAAAATACCTGGGTGTCTGCTCATTTAAAACTCTCAGCACCAGGCTATCTGAACATGCTAGGCTTATAAAAGTGTATGTCCTGGGGGAAAAAAAACCAGTGTAATTGAACCGCCAGTAAGTCATCGGGCTCATCAGAGGAAGGGAGTGTAGCACAAAAGCAGTAATGGCAAAGCTAGACACAAACAGAAGTCTGACTCTGGAGACGCATGGGTTGGCTGCTGCAGACTACTAAAGTCTGTTTTAAAGCTGCTTGGGGATGGTGAAAAGCTGGGACTTGTATAAAAGGTAGACCTGTGACCGCAGCACTTGTTCAGGCAGCAGAACTCTCTACGCTGTCTGCAGGATCAACCTCCAGGAAAGCTTTCAGGTACTATCGGAAAGCTATTTGGGCAAGGGAGTCTGACGCATTCTCGCTCTTACTTCCCAACACTGCTTCCCAGTGCTGCCTTTCAGAGAATTTTACTTTAAACAGTTAGTAGAAAGAAAAATGAACAGGGGTAAGATTGAAGTCTGACTGCCTAGTATGAGGCCAATTTAGAGGGCCCTCGACAAGTTCTGCTCTAGCTCCATTTTAAAGATGACAGTAATCCTTTCACAGGTCTCTGAAAAACAGTGTCAGTATTTACCCTCAGGAGAGGGCCCAGGACTGTGGATGGTGAACCAGCAGAAGCACCCCTCTAACTACAAATGATGTGTCAGGAGGACCTGAGGGAAATCCCTGCCCACAGCATTCTCCTGTTTCCTTGTGAGGGGGTGCCAGTCGGTACCGACAAGCTCTGTGCTGTAGTACTCACCCTTCCCCTACACCGCTCCGAGTCTGGGTACCTCACATGGGCTCCAGGACACCCTTCAGGAAACTAGTCACTACAAAGTGGTGTGCCGCCTGCTGTGCAGGTGGACAAATCCTTCATCAGATCTTGGCATCGGCTCTTCTGTTTTGAGTTCTGAAACAGTGGAAACTCAAGAGAAAAAATCCGCATCTCTTTCCTCTGGAGTTCTATATAACCCATTAAAGAACCTAATAAACACAGCTGTCTATAAGTGGTACCTTATGCTGACCTTGTTTAAAAGCTACCAGTTAAGTTGTCAGCTTAAGAGTTATTTAAGAAGCATTACAAAAATAATGAACCTAAAGTTGCATCTCTGACATACAGCAAAACTCCAAGAAAAAGCATTTGAGCTTTATCATAAATAACATTAGCTAGGTGTTATAAAATTCGCTGTGCTGTAAAACAAGGACTCTTCTGTTTTAATCAGTTTCTAACTGATGATCTTATTTAACAGACAGAGCTGCTCCTTCTTGATTACAGGATTGCATCTGAATACTGTGGTTTTTTGAAAGACAGCAGGACTTCATCTGACATGTTAAGATAGGAAAAATTTAGCATCCCTGCTCTAACCTTACATCATTTCCTGGAAAGCAGCACTCCCTGCATATTTTGCAGAATCAACTGAGGTGAGAAAAAAGGCCTTTGGGGAGGGAAATAAAAGAGCTGTTCATTAAGTATTTATTTGAAATTAAAGTTTATTTACTCAAAACACTTCTGTATTTTACTTTTTTTTTCACTTTTAAAAATGCTGATACTGTTACAGAAAATAATATTTTCAGTTCAGAAGGCAGAAACAAGTATTGCAAAAATTTCCAAAGAGAATAAAATTACTGTATTTCAAACCTTGAAAAAATAGAAGTACTTCTACAATTTTTCATGGAAGACTTTCTGCAAGATCTAGGATTTAGTGGGCTATGTCTTGAATTTCAAGGAGTGACAGCTCCATCAAGTTGTTACAGAAATGGTCGCATCTTTTATGTATTTGGCAAATGGTAAGTATTGTCTAAATAGAGCCTCATATGTTTTGAGGAGAAAACTCAATGGATAGTTGAAATTGGTCATAAACAGGCCTTAAAGAAAAGTGATTAAGTTTTACTTTCCATTCTGTCTGTCTCACCAGTCACCTACTTCAACTACAAATGGTTCTTTTACAGCTATTTTGCCACTGTTCACAATCACACAGTCCTGAAGGGGCCGGTCATGTTCATCTGTCTGCTGGAGTTCTATCGAGTGCACCACAGACTGTTAAAAAAAAAAAGTTCAGTTTAGCCAAGGAAACTCCAGTGGCTCAAGTTTGGTACCAGATAAACAACTAAGTGCTCCTAGCTTTACTATTTATTAAGCAACTACTGAACAAAGACCTTTACCTTGCTGAGTTCCCAAAAGCTTTTTTTTTTCCTCCCACATTAATAGTTGTGCCACTCTACAACCGACCCACAGACAGAAGCACATGGAAGGCTGTTTGCCCTTATAAAAACTTTCAGCCAACAAAAACATTATGAAGGGACAACTGAAAATATCCCCTCAGTTGATCGACCTAGCACATACAGGATCTATCTGTAACCTACGAGCAGAGAGTGAATCCAGAGATCATAAAGGATGAGCAGTAATTATTTTTCTAATCGTACAGCATACCTGTGTTTCAAGAAATGAGATGACTGCTTTAACCTTTAGTGTAACACACACACACAGATTTTAAGGGTGGTATCATGCCCTCCAGTCAGACAGGTACAAGTAAACTACCAGCCTCACGCGAGGCAACTAATTACAGTAGTATTTTTAAAGGACAAAATTCAGTTAGGAATACTGACTACATGGCTTTGGATATTTGTCCATTAATCTAACCAAATTAAAACTTAGTCTAAGTCTCTCCTCAGAAATTTTCAGCTACTATTGTAGCTCATGAGAATTGAATTCAATATGAATGTGGGAGTTGGGGGCAAGTGTTCTGATCAAGTTTTCAAACTGCTCAAAGAGCTGGTCAGTGCAGCAGTTCATGTTTCCCCCATTCATTTCAAAACACAGAATAAATGGAATAATTTAAAATGAAAACCAGACTACTAGAAGTATCATCAGTTGAAAGCACTATTTTTAAACCTAAATTCTATTTGGCCTTTTGCAGTTTTGCAGCTGTGTACAATTTGAGGGAATTAACTAGATGGTTTTTTTTCTTTTTAAACAGATCCGAATATATGCGTTTGTATACTTCACATTCACATACTTCTAAAAATCCTATCAGTGAAAGTGTTACCCATAACTAGCACATGCTACAAAATTAGATTTTAGCTTGTAGAAATACAATTACTTCATGGCTAACAGCGTTAGTGAAAGCGGGACCTGAATTTACTCCATTTGTAATCTGCAAAGGTGTCAGTGTTGATTTCAGTGGTTAGTGGTCTGAAGTAAGAGCTGTGAAAGCCAAAGGCATGATTTAAGTTTCCATTTCTGCAGTCACCATTTGCTATTTCAGTCCTAAATCATCCAGCTCCAGGCTCCTCACAATCGTTTTCTACCATGTACATATTAGATAAACACTCAATGGTTTTGAACCACACTGGTGTAAGTTACATTAACACAGACATAATGCAGCAGAATTTGTCCAGATTTTGCTTGGATTAATCTTGCCACTACTTTTAGCTTACCATTCCATCAAGGACTTTGCCAAATACTACATGTTTTCCATCTAACCAGGAAGGCTTCGTCACACTGATGAAGAACTGGGATCCGTTGGTGTCTGGGCCAGAATTAGCCATGCTAACCCATCCAATTCCATAGTGTTTCAGCTTGAAGTTCTCATCTGGAAACCTTTCTCCATAGATGCTTCTTCCTATGACACAAAATAAGAAAGCAAACTTTAAAAAAAAAAAGAAGTCAAATAAATAAAAACCCTTTTTGTTCAAAAAGGGGAAAAACAAAGTATAAATTCAGCGCTTGAAGATTCATTGGTTGAGTAAGCACAGCAACACAACATCTCTGTTCCATCATCAGTGATTCCATAACTAAAAGCATTTTGTGTGTAAAGAAAAAGATAAGCTAAAACACCACATATAGGGGGAGAATATTTAAAGCTGATGATGCTTTATTCTTTGAATTTAACAAGCAAGCTGAGTACCTTTGAAAGTCCCGCTTACATACACCACTGAACAATGGTATACTTCACCCTGTTCAACAAATTTAAATTACACAATTATGGCCACTAAAAATAAGGTTGCCATGTTTTATGACAATTTTAGTCTTTACTTTTACAACTTTTCCTCCTAGTAACAAACTGCTTTAGACATGTTTAGAAATATACGAAGACCAAATGGAAGTTAGCCTAAAAAACTCAGTGTGGATTTGTACAATCATTACAGAAGGATTTTGATGTTGCTAAAATAGTTCAGAAGAGAAAACATTTGAATCATGTTTAAACCATCATCACTTTGAAAAGAGAAGGCTGGCTGTTTCATAGTTTGTATAGTGCCTAGCACAATGGGGACACCGCTCCCAACACTGCCAGATACAATAAACAGTATTAGCAGGCAAACAAACGCTGCCTACCTTTAATGCTAAAACTGTGTCTTTGGTATTTTAGCCTTCCCTATTGTTCGCTGCAAGGAGAACGAATGTGTGTTTTCTATTCTGTCCCAGTAGGGAAATCACTAACATTGTATGCAGACAGTTCAAATCATAGCACATGAAGAATGTGCGTATAAAGGAAGAGAAGAAATCAGAAGCCAGAATGCATGCAATGCAAGAGATGCTGTACTGGGATTGCCCTCCTTAGTGGACTGAACTGGTCTTCTGGAGGCTCAGGAGGGAGATGTGATATACACAGCCAGAACTCACACCACCAGCAAGTTTATGGTTTTAAATTTAGTAAGGAAAATAGGGGAGAAGGCATGACCTTCATTTTCTAATTTCTCTACCCCTATTTTGAAATTCCCTCCCACAGCACATTTCAGAAGGTTCCACAGAACTGGCTGAGCTGAGGGCAGAGAGGACATCCTACTCCTTCCCTACCTGCCTTCCCGCTACACGCTTTCACTGTTTCATCACGGATTAGTTTTCTGCTGGATGACTTGAATTGGTTCACGTACACATGCAATCAATGAGTGCCTCAGGGAAGGAGCACTGTCGCAAAGCCAGAGCAGGGGAAAGGTGGAGACATCCATCTTTTGGAGACAGTATGTTGTAGGAGCAGCTCAGCTGATCACGTGGCTCCAGCCCACCACACAAAGCTATGCTTCTTGAATGGGGACAAGTCACAGACAGAAAAGAGCTATCTGCAAAAATTGAGGACAAAGGAAGCTCTACACATACTTATAATTAGGTAATCCAAATAATTGCAGCTTATGTTCCAAGATGCTTGGAAACGTGCTAGATGCTCTAAAACAAATGTTGGGGGGTTTTTTCATTTGTATGAGCTGAAAGAATGAGGGAATATGCTGTTTTGCCCATTTTTTCAGCAGACATTCGAAGAAAGGAAAGGGAACCTGGAAGATACTAAGCATGTTACCTCCTGATCCATCTCCAGCAGTAAAGTCTCCTCCTTGAATCATGAAGTCTTTGATCACACGATGAAATTTACTTCCTTTGTATCCATATCCTCTCTAAGAAAATGAAATAATTCTTTAAATGAATGTAACATCGAGTTCTGTACAGTCATACGGAAATATGCATGTGGTGAATAGCCAGAGTTCACAGAATATACCACCACTGGAGACAAATACTGGCAAGAAACAAATTAAACTGAAATGCAGGTGAATGCAGCTGGGCTGCGCTGCCACAAAGCAGGTATTATTCAGGTGATCAAAGCCATTATCTTTATTTGACCGGTATCTGACCGCAGTATCTCTACATGCTAGATCTGCACGGCAGGGACAGACTGGAGTGGTGATATCCAACATCTCAATTGCATCTTGTGATGTACAAGCCCCAAGGACCTGAGAAGACACACACCAGTACACAGCTGGGGATGGCACTCTTGCACAGTCTCCACTGAATTAAGATCGACAGTTCACAACTGAAACAGCATTAAACAAATATTTACTTCCCAATCCAAACTTGAGTACACAGTGGAAGAAAACTGCAAACGTACTTCTCCAGTTGCCAGCGCAATGAAGTTCTCCACAGTCTTTGGAACAACTTTTCCAAACAATCCAATTACAATTCTGCCAACATCTTTGTCTCCAATCTTCACATCAAAGAACACCTGAACATTTTTGTGAAGAGAACAGAAGTGGTACAAACATGAGCACAAAAAAAGGCCAAGCTTTTGAAAGTGTAAGATGGTAAGAAACTGCTTCTGGCTGGTCTATTTTAATAGTATCCTTCAATTCCTGAGGGTGCTGTTTAAGAAAAATCCTTTCAGAGCTACCAAAACCAGATTATTCTGAAAACTGTTTGAGAACTATATGTTTTGATTCTTACTGCTTTTAAGGGCTCAGTGAGCTGCTGTATCACAAGTTTGAAGGTAGTGTTCAAGAAGATTTTTCCCAGACATGCGTGTCTTTAAAGCTGTACAGAAAAGATCAAATATGAAAGTAAGGAAGAACAATGATGCTATTCCAGTGTGGTGAACAATAACAAGAAACTAGAGAACTGACACGCCCCACAAACAATAGTTTGCTATCCATTCATGATCTTCACTGTTCCAGGCATTAGTATGTATGTGATTAAGTATAGGCGAAAGCCTAAATTTCATTAAATTGACAAACAAATTGAAAATCTTACGGCTAAAGCAAGGAGTCACTTTCCTAAACACTAATTCAAACCTGATAGAGAAATAACCAGACTACATCATTCAGCTGATTGCCTAAAAGCTTCAACGTAGATGTTGCTAAAAAGCAACTTCAAAAAGGCAAATGAGTTATAAAGCATTTTAATATAGTTCAGAATATATGAATGCATATTTGAACGTGCAAAAACGTTCCAACAATTACTGAAAATAGGAACAGCTGTCAGGAAATGAGGCATTTTGAAGTTCTGAAAAAGCTACATGAAGACCATTACAACTTCTAGGAAACAGCAATGTGTATTCCTATGATGTGGTATCTGCTGTTCCTTGTGGCACTCGACCAAATATTACTTGTCTGCAATGCTAAGAAATTAGTCCAATAACGATAATAAATGACCACAGTCTCTCCAATGTGAATGCCTCTTTCACGCTCTCCTACTAAACATTTCTACCGTTTCTTGATCTTCCATGTCGTTTTGACTGTTGAACTTTTAGCTAACACTATAAAAGCTCTATAAAGAAAATAAAATTCCTTTTGATACACCTCATTCATTTCCTTGGCACTAAATAACCTACTTCTTAGATATGTGGCTCCCAAAGTATTAACAGCACACTTTCACTAACTTTTCTAAAAGCACCTTATTTTGCCTGGAAATGTTGTCCTAGCAGAAATGTTGTCCTTAGACTGCCTGAAATGTCTAAGCATATATAAGTAACACAACTAAGGCTACCAAAAAATTACCCCAGACAGCAGTAGCATCAAATACCTTCACAGAGCACGTGGAGACAAGTCCATCACATATTGTAAACCTAACCCAACCAGAAGGCTTCATCCATGGCAGAGCTGCTCGCCTAAGCAGCAAACCCACTACTTCCAAAAAGCATTGCTTTGGCTTATTCTGCATTTGTGAACAAACAGTATGTTCCTGGCTTCCTGTTAGCGCTCCACATACCTGTGCTATACGGTTGGTGATTTTTTGAAAGTTCTGCGCTTCCTAATTATGCACTACATAATGTGTCTGTGCATATTTCTGGTCAGGAAATCAAATATGAAAATATTTGGTAGCCCTAGATGCCATTTTTGCACAAAGAAGCCACGTTCTCTTGAATGTATTTCCTCAAGTTCTCTGGAAAGTCAGTAAGAACGTAGACACTAGTGAGCTAGTCAACACAAGCAGTCTCAAATCTCAAAAAACATCTGGCCAGATTCTTCACCAAAAACTCTTAAGAAAATAAATATTACAAATGTTCAGTCTTATTAATATTTATATGACATTTATATAATATTTATATAATATAATCTTACTTACAATTTGCAGTAAGTATTTCAAGACTGAAATGAAAAAGAATGCACCAGTAAAAGTGGCTGGGTCTCATGAGCATATTCATATATAATTTACACAAGATGTGTATATCAAAATGAAAAAATGGCCAAGAGTGTTCAATTATTCAGGAGGGAGGAAAAAAAAGTTGACTGTGAAAGAAAGATCTCATGATTCCTAGAGACCAGGTAATATAATGACAAATGAACTCCTGACAAACGCAAAATACTGCATGTGGGAGAGGACTATACAGCCAGAACAAGAGGTCCTAAATTGGCTAGCACTCAGAAAAGACATCTGGAGTCACCCTGAGCAGTTTGATGAAAAGTTTGCCTTTGGGCTTGTGAAGGTCAGAGAAGGAAAATGAATGTTAGAAATAATTAAAAATGGGTAAGGACAAGAGATGGGCATAATTATGCCATGGTATGCACCCATACTGCGCATTCACACCCTGAGTGCTGCGTATAATTCTGGCTTCTCTATCACAGAATGATAAAACCAACCTGAAAATGGTAGAGACAAGGCCAGCACAGATGCTCAAAGATCTGGTGTACCTTTTATATGAAGAAAGATTAAATAAAACTATGCAAGCTGGAAGAGAGAAAACTGGTGTGATTTGATGAGCTCTGTAAAGTTATGACTGGCTTGGACAAGGAAAATTGGCGGCTGCTATTCTCTATGTCCCACAGCGTAAGAATCAGGAAAGGGCATAAAATGAAATCCCAGGCAGGTCTGAGAAGCAAAGTACTTTATGCATAATTAAACTGGAATATATTGCCAGAAGATGATTTGGACACCAAAGTATGTGAGGTTTACCCCCCCAAACAAATCAAATTCACGGACTAGAAGTCCATGGCAGTGAAACTGTAGACAGTTGTAGACAACGGCGGCAATGAAGTTCAGAGACAAAGGCACAGCCTGTGACTTAGAAAGCTGAGGCCGTGCCAGAGGAAGCAGCTCTGCCCCTGTCCTGCCCTGTCACTTTCACAAGTGCAAGCATCTTTCACCAGGAACACAGCCCTTGCTCTTGAGTGTAGGTGGAAAGGTACTTGGGAGCAGAAACTTCTAATCCCTACTTTATCCAAAGCCGGACTAGACATCCCACCTCCTGCACCAGCAAAAACTTTTTGGAAAGAGATGCAGGCGTGTTGCGATAACCAGGTGCATCCCCATCCCGCTGCCAGGTGACGTGGCCCGCAAGTCCATCTCTTGGGCAGTGCCATCTGTAATTACTGCATGTGCCTCTGGCACAAAGCACGTCCTGGGAGCCCGGCACCGCCGAGCCATGCCGACTCCCGCTCCTGGCTTCGCTGGCAGCACGCTCTGAAGCGCGACGAGGTTAGGGTTAGGGTTAGGTTTTAACCCACGCCAGGTGCCCAAGCTTGTCGTGGGCAGGAACGACAAGGGAGCGAGAAACAGGGGGCAATAAAATGACAGCTCACAACACCAAGAGTTTCGGCAAGCGGCGGGGGGGGGTGGAATAAGTACAGCACAACTGAGCCCCGGAGCGGTTAAACCGCCGCTGCCCAGCGCAGCGCGGACACCACCACGCAGCCCCAAACTGCCTATGGCGACGGCAGAAGCAAGGATGTAATCACGAATTTTAAAGTTACCACTTCTGTGAGCCAGCGGCAGGCTTAGCTAACTGCAAGTTTGAGGTGTGCCAGCGCCTACAGAAAGAGGGCATGCCCAAAGGGGTTTAAAAAAAAAAACCAATACTTATAAAACGGGAAAGTTAAGGCGTTTGTCCAAGCCCACCCCAAACCCGACCCCCGCAGGGGCCTCCCTTCCGCCCGGAATGCGGCCCGGGAAGGAGCGGGCCGGGGAGGGCCCAGCTTTACACCATAAAACCAGGGTAAAAGGCAGCCAGGCAGCCCCCAC